GTTTCGGCTACGTTGGGCTACTCAGCAGTACTGGCTAGCCATGTGAAAACGATGCAAGAATGAAAGGCAGGGGAAGCACAGGGAACAGCATTATGCAAAGGCACAGAGGCAAGAAAGGGGGAAACCAAAGCAATTGGGAAAGGGTGCACGGTAACAAGCTTAGTACCCAGTCATACAAGGCCTGTGAAGCCATGGTAAACTGCTAGACTGTCCTGCAGCGGTGAAGACCCCGAGGTACCGTACACAGGGAAACGAGCAGATCGCTTTCTGCCCGTCTGACTGAATGCTCTAGCTGACTGTAGATGACAAGACAGCCAGCCGAGATGCTGTGACAGTAATCCAGCTACGAGCTTACGGCAGCCTAACCTTACAGCAGAAGTGAAGATACTAAGAAGTACACAGGTTTGTGAAGTATTTAGTTAGATAAATCTAGGACGCTTGACAGGTGAAATACGGGGAGAGAAGGGAAAAGGTTAAGGGAGGGTTATGTCCAGATTTGTACATTGGGGAATGGAACCGACAAAGTGCGGTACGTCTACTGAGCTAAGAAATACAGCAGTGAGAGGGAGCGTGGCTTGCAATAAATTGATGAAGTATTTTGGACATGCTGAGTTTGAGAGATCTTGATTCCAAGAGAAGATACTCAGTAGGTAGTTGGAAATAAGGGTCAGGAGGTTGAGAGAATCTGTCTTGAGCTGGAGGTACAGAAAATATGGGTGTGGGTGTCCTCAGCATATGGACAGATGGTAACTGAGGCAACCAGAGAGGACAGCAGCACTCAGGCAGAGGCAGAGAGTACAACAAGGGCCTAGGACAGAGCTCTGCGGAACTCTACAGGGAAGAGGAACTTGCAAAGAGGAGGGTCTGAGAGGTACAAGGAGGAAAACGAGGACTATGATTTTAAAAACCACAGGAAGAAGCCTTTACAAACAGGATCCTGTGGACCAGCACAGGGCCGGCACACAGGAGCTCACTGGGACGTGTCTGCTGCATTTAACAAGAAGGCAAGTGGTAACTTTGGAAAGATGTGAATAGTGCCGGCAGAAACCGGAGACTCTCCGGGGTCAATGTGCTGCCTCGTCGTATCTTCCAAATGACTCTCAGGTCTGTCCGTGTACCTCCTCCTCCAAAGCCACTGCTTCCGCTCATGCTTCACCACTACTTGAATGCTCTTTGTCAATGGCTCATAGACATCACCTTTCCAGAGTCTCTCTTCGACAACTTCCCTTTCCTCAAATAAAACAAAGCCATACATAACTCTTTCTACACAAGGCTGCCAGAGTAATTTTTCTAAGATACAGCTTAGAGCAAATCAGTCCTTGCTCAAAGACAAAATGGTTATCCACTGCCTTCAGAATAAAATGCGAACTCTGGGTCCAGTCCTTTTGCCCACACTCCAAAAAGCACACTCTCCACACACCTGACTTTGTTAAAAAAAAAAAAATTGCTGATCTCAAAAAAGTTCTTTAAACATTTAAAAAGTCAAGATTTAAATTATGAGCATCCTAGATGAAAATACTTTCTTCCTTTCATCACAAATAAAACGCAGGGGACTGGGTTCAGGGCTTTATTTCCCTATCACAATGAACAAACAGCATCTGACAGAGCCAACAGCCACATAACACAGCTATTCCCTGCTGTGTCACTGCATGAAACAACACAGCTTGAGGGGGGGTGAGACAGTGTTTTTAACAAGTACTAACAGATTTTATAAATACTACACTGTTTACTGTAAACATTTCCACCTTATTATGATCGGCTCACTCATTCTACTAAATAAAATGACAAGAGAAAGAAAAAAAAAAGGAAATAATGGCTTTCCTTTTTAGGGTTTTCCCCTACCAATCTTGGAGAAACTGTCCAATGGTTTCTAACTACAAGACAGCAGTCTGTACATACTGCACTAAACCAGCAAGTGTCATGACTTTCTAGTGATTGCACATGCTTCTTAGGAAATACTTACATGGATCAAAAGCCATTTCAGACGTTCAGATCAATTTGAATCCATACGGATCAGAGAGGCCTGTGACACACCTAACAGGTCTATTAAAGACGACCTAGCAGATCAAGTGAATTTTGTTATGTAGTTTCAGGGATGGCTGAAACTCTCTCAACATTCCTAGTCCCTTAATTTTGTTTTTCTTTGTAGCTTTCTAAGATTCTGCACAATCACACACATGGGTAAACACACACACTGAATGCAGTACAGTGAGGATCAACGATGCTTAGCAAAGCTGCTATCCCTGTATGATGGACTCTGCTCGCCTCGGTACTACATTATACGGTGAATGAATGTATGCAATTAAAAATACACATATACATGTTCACATATAGAGAGATACATGAAATGATCCCAGGATCCATCACAGAAGATTACTCTGCACTTTATAAATCCTATATCCCAAACAAATCCTATCTATGAAAAATTTTTCCTTTCTTAGATTGGCTCAGCAAAAATGATACTGAACTTAAAAGTTTGATGAACAGCACAAAGTTATTACCCTGTGCGTGTCTTCTTGGTTTACAGAGGAATGACACGCAGTCTGTTCCACTTCTGGAATTCTCATTTAGCATGTTCTCAATTACAGGAAAACACATGTTCATTCATGTGGTTGAAATCTCAACATTTTCCATTATATATGGCTTTTATTTTTTTTTTTAATATGCTGGGCTTATTTTTCAGCCACAAAATACTAATATCTAAATATGACAGACGACTCCTGTAATCCTAGGCCACAGCCATTATTTCACTACTGGTTCTCAGAAGAATCTGAAGCATTTGAAGGGCTTTGTCAGCATACAGTTAACCAACCCCAAGCCCCCCAATTCTTACTTAGTAACTATGGCGTGCAGCCTGAGCACGTCCCACGTGATGCCGATTCGGTGATGAGCTACTTTGTACCATTCATAGTCTCTGCCGCCGTTAGGAGTGACAGAACATATAATTTATATGTTACATACTTGGGACACATATCAAAATAATTCCCGTTTGGGGCTTCTGTCACTGCTGATTGCTTAGCTTATTCAAATTAAGATGAATGCCTTGACTTACAGTTTTTTGGGTAAACTGCCATGAATGCTTTTAAGAGACAACAGCCAATTTCTTAGTATTGTTTACATCATCAACTATCCAGATTTTCAGCTCACTGCTAGAATTCAAAGTAACTAAAGCATGATTGTTCAAAATGGCTAACACTCATCTCAGTTTCGACTTGCTTTTTTAGTTTTCAAGAGGAAAGGACTTTATTGGAGTTCCTTAAACATTGCTAACAATAGAGATGTTCAAACCACGTAGGCTTTATGAATGAGCTTTAGCTGGGTCTAAGACGTTTCTCGGTAACAAAGCGATAAAACATTGTTTAGTATGCGTGTTTCATGCATATTTATTTGGGAGAAAGTAACTTTTATCAGATTCTCAAAGGGATTTATGGCCCAAGAGAGCTAAAAATTCTCATTCAGGGGAGAACTGAAACAGTTATTAAAGTGCATTGTACATTCCACTCTAAAAAAGCTGTTTTTACATTCTAACACTAAAAGAAGAGCAGGCGATCTAAATCAACGCTTCTTCTGTTTCCAGCTTGCCGTTTTATTAGTTTTACATGCACTGAAAGGACTGACAAGAATTTCAGTGATCTTAGAAAGAGAAACATATGCTAACTCAATAAATGTCTTTTTCACCCAAAGAAAAATTACTTGTTTTAATAATCAGGTATTACCTCATGCAGTTAAACCCCACCCTGAAAGACTTTCAGATATGAAAAAGATTTTAAAGAATTCAAGGGGGAAAGATATAAATACTATATTATTTTATTTTTAAACGATAATAAATGACTTTGTTAAAAAACACCTATTTTTCTTAGATTTTAATGCTTTAATTCTTTAAAATAGATTTTAATCTGGACAACATTTCCTTCTTCATACAGTTTTCAAGTAAATGAAATCCTCCAAAAGTCTTTCAGAAACCTTCAAGTTAGTCATCTGATCCCACAAAATGGCTCTAATTTTAGTAACAAAGTAAACACAAGCATTTCTTGGATTGTGGATACAATATACTAGAATATTCAAGTACATCATTAGGTTTTGACGACTTTTCCAATAAACAGTTGTATGGAATTCAGCAGCCTCCACTTTTCATGCAGGATTGACACTCAGCTGCCTCAGGTGGTGAAAATGACTCACCAGCTGCAAACAATTGCTTTGGGCATAAAACATCTTCGGAGGAAAGGTAAGGTCTTTCCCCTTTTGCTAAGATGTTTTTGGACTTTCTCGTATCAAAGTACAAAAAACAAAAAAAAAGAGAAAAACTCAGATTTCAATATCATACAATGTTTTTCTCCCCAAAATAGTGCTGGAGAATCAATCGAACTCTTCAAACGTAGGTCAGAGAAACCCCCGAATATAATTCCAAATAGACAAGGTGAGGGCAAGCCAATTAAAAAAATCCTTAACGATTAAAACTGCCTTTTAAAACCTTGTCATTGTTAAGTGAGAGGTATTCAGATCCAGGGAAGCGGTACTAATAACTTCCGAGGAATTCCTAAAGACCTTATGAGGCACTTAATAAATCCGTACAGTTGTGCCTTTTTTCCATGTTGAAAAGCAGCGGAAATGAACAAGTTAAAAGGCATTTTCCTAACCCTGACTGCAAATCACAAGCTTGCTGCTGCTGGAAGCCAGCTGGCTGAGTGCCCATTTACAGTAAGCTGTTTACTCCCTGTCTACCAATCACGCCACAGAGCATGAATGCCTACAGACACAGTCAGCGTGTCTTTTCAAGACAGAGCAGCAGAGTGAGAGGGGTTTATGAGCTTTATTAAATTCTCAGTGGTATTACTTGGAATACTGCTCCAAATTATTCTAATCTACTTTCCATAACCTCAGCATTTTAAAGTCAAGTAATTGCCCTTCAATAGACAATATTTATGTACATAGACTATTATAATTTGATATTGTTTTTAACCCCATTTACCACACTCGTGAATACTTCCTCATGTATTGTTCTTGTAACTGTTCATGTAAACATAGTATTCCATCGTCTGTGTTCCCATCAATGTTCAACAATCATTTTCTTTTTGCTGAACATTTACGTTTTCTATAAATTTTTACTCTTACAATTTATTATAGTTTGTCACACCTATGCGGGCATCGTTGCTTGATTCTTTGATAGGAGTATTTTTGTTCTGTCTGTCTATGGTGATAAAGTTTATATATGAAATAGGGATATGACTTTTATCATCATCCAATTGAAACTTTATCACAAATGTATCGCACTATAAAAAAAAGAATGCTTCTGAAAACAGATTGTGTGAAACCTTTTGATAATTCTGACAAAATTTCGGTCAAATTCTGAAGACTTTTGACTTCAAAAAAAATAGACAATCTTAAAATAGCTTATCACTGGAATGGGGGATGCCCTCTAATCATTTAAAGTAACTGTTTAATATCACTTTTAAAGGCTAGCAATATCCATCTTAAAATGGATTGAACTTAATTAAACTGAAACCTCTGAATAAGCAATTTTCAGCCTGAAGACTGAAAACAGTATAAGGAAAAAAGGCAAGAAAAGACATAGAATGCCCACAGAAGGAGTAGAAAACAGAAAAAACTGAATTCCGATTATCAGGAGAGAAGTGGGTAAGAGTAACACAATGATTCCCATAAGTGGCTCCTGCTCTGCCACCAGAAAGCATGTCTACTGCTTGGCCTCTGAAGAGCCAGCTTTCCCCACCCACATTGGCTAGTTCAGGCAAAAGCAGGGAACAGATACCTTGTTTTTTGGACCCCTCGTCTGCTACAGCTGCGCGCTCAGTGTCTTCCCAAGGTTACATGCCATCAATAATATCAACTGCCACTGAAAACCTCAGACCATAACTTGCACTCAGTGTGTTTATAAATGCTAAAATGAGCGAAAGACATAGAGGGAATGCCTTGTCAACATCGACTTCATCCGAGAATCAAGCCAACAAGCATTTGGAACAAACCCCAGCTCAGAAGGCCCTTGGAAGCAAAAGGACTTTGAAAGCCACGTATCTGCAGTCAAAAGGTGACCAACTACAGCAATGACAGATTCAACAGCCTCTGTGGAAAGAGCAAGAAGCTAGTAAGACCGCAGAAACATCCGAAGCTAGATATCATAAAAGAGACAAAAGCATTACTCTGTAGGACTTGGCTTCTCTAGCTTCCTCCTTACATGCTTCTACAGCCAAGTTTTCAGTAGGTTGCAGAGATATCTTTTACTAGGAGCGTACCCTACACAAATCATCTCATGACAGCCGTTCTCTAGTTCCTCAGTAACTTCACCCCATCCCCAAGCCCAAATGGCAGAGTGAATCATTTCACTAAATAGAGCATTATTTAGGCTCTCAGAGCTAGACTGTTTCTTTTTTTTTCTCCCTGTTTCAAGTCCATTTTCCCCAGCTAACTTTAGAGTGTTAGTTCCTACAACCTTTGGTCCTATAATAATAACTCTTCTGCCATGTCTTTCACTTTTCTGTATTTCTCATAATTTTCGTCTCTTAAAAAAAAAACCATCATGTGCAAATTCTATCCAATAACGTAACTTCCTAATTATCCTATACTACTTGGTAAGATTTCTTTTTTGCAGGGGAAGGGGGAGTTTAGTGTTAATGATCATCACACTTGGGTTAAATTTCTCTCTTAGGAGCCCAAACAAGAAAAACATACACAGAGTACCAGGAGTGGTTGTAGGTCAGAGTGCTCATATTACTTCTAAGACCTCACTAGAGTTTGAGGTTTAAAGTAGACTTCAATCAGTACTTAAATAAAATCAAAGTATAGCTTTGGTATACAAGTTAATCCCTGGAAAGGTTCCAGACGCATGGCCTTGAATATTATGTAGTTTTAAAAACAGGATCTCAAAATAATGCTGAGGCAGCAGTGGTATTTCCTCACTGCCTCACTCACTTCTAAACCCAAAGGCTAAAAATCACCAGCTATTCATTAAAAAGATTGAAAGTTTTACTTTATATATGTAATGTACTTCCTAGTGCATTTGCTACAGGACAGCAAGTGTTTGTTAATATGTGATAAATAGCTTGATACTAAGATTATGCACAGTACTGACAAAGAAAATTCAAATTTAATGGGTTGATAATTAAACACAGTTCTTGTAGAAATAGCTCCATTTCTCAGATTTGTAACCTCACTTTCCCTTTGAATTTTAACCAATGGGGAAAAAAAAACAGAAACAAAAAACACTGTTCTGTTCGTTTAATAAAACAACTCTTCTGTATGACAACATGAGGAAGCTGAAACTGAAGAAAGTCAAAAGATGCTCATTTTGCCTATTAAGTGAAAACTAAAATCCTCACCTTACAGCTGAACTAACAAAGAGGAATTCAGGCAGATACTATGAACTACAAACAGGGGAATGCGATGGATTTTTTCTCTCACCTTTCAGACTAGTACCTTCAAAACAGCATTTTAAACACAATGAAAAAGAAAACCCTGTGGTAATGAATTAGTTGTCCTCACTGAAAAATACATACCTTCATAATTATAATTGCTGCTCTTTATTTTGTGTGTGTGTGTGTTTAACGGAGGTACTGCACACCGAACCCAGGACCTGGTGCATGCCAAGCACGCCCTATACCACTAAGCTGTTACCCTCCCCCGCAACCATTTCTTCTTTTAAGGTGCACATCTACTTCGTACAGTATCCTCTCATCTTCCCCGAAGCCTTCCCTTCCCTCATATACTTGTGAACTAAGACTAGTTCTGAAATTCTGGTTAATAGCTAATCAAAAAACCTGAGGCAAACAAGAAAAAACTTAAGCAGATATTTTCTTGACCAAGTATCTATTCAAGCCAGACGAACATCACTTCCTTCACTTGAAAACAGCCCACTTAAGAGGTCTCGATCTTTAGGTTACCGCGTGCTCCTGCGTAGGAAGTTTATTTTGCGTAAAGCATGTTAAAATTTGGCTGAGTGGGGCTGGACCACAAGGAAATGAAGGCAGACATCTCTTCATATCCTCTCTTACCAGCGGCTGTTCGCCACCCCATTCCATAAAACATTTTATGTAACTGTTGGGTTCTATTCTTTCTGCTTCTTTATTCACCTTTTCAAATACTTTGCTGCCATTTTCCAAAACACATCACTATTTAACACTTAATTTACAGAGAACTGCCCATCAAAGACCCACGTTAGCTCAGCAGTGAACAGGTCACCGGAGCACCTAAGAATGCAAGGCATGCTCCAGGACGTCTACATTAACTGCAACTATTGCATACAAGTAAATGACTCAGTTTTGAAGAGGGAAATGCTTAATGACAATGAGATCATGAACCATGAATATGACAGCATCCTTTGAACACTTAAGCCGTTACAACCGTCTAATATCTGGTACCATTAAATATTTATGAAAGGAATTCTATTGTGTAAATGTTAGCAAAGAAATCTGAACACAAGAGCCTCCTAACCATTCTCTTTGCCTTGGTTTTAACCTATTCTAATCCATCCTCTTAAAATATGAGTTTTCAAGTCCTTAGCAGCAAAATCCTTTCTTTTAAAAAACTAAACCTCTTGTACAACTCCCACTGCTTAAAACAGGTAAAAGTGACATTATACTCATACAGTATGTTGTATACATTCAAATTTATAGCATTAATCCATATAGGAAGCAGTCAGTGACATGATTGCTTCCTATATGGATTCTGATTGCTTCCTATATGATGAAGGAAACAATGAAATTGTCTTGCTAAAACCAGTAAAACTGAAATTGGAATCCAGGTTTACCATCAAACTTTATATTCAAACAGAGTTTGCAAAGCACTGCCCTAAAACCTCACACTGTATGATCAGCTACAAATCTCATTTCCAAACCTCTATCAAA